ACCGCTCCAGCATGGTCTCAAGCAACTACAACCCGAATAACGGCAACCCGCAAGGTGGTTACAACTATGGGCAAGATTACGGACAACAGCAAGGCTACGGGTATGCGCACACTGCTGCACCTGGCCAGTACGGATACGGTGCCCCGAACAACGGAGGCGTTTCGGACATGCCACCGGCGCACACAGCAGACCACGTTACAACAAAATAAGGGAAAGAAGTGTCATACATGGAGGAGGAATGTATTAAATTGTACAACTACTGTATAAACACCACGATGAACTCAATGAGATTAGATACCATTCTATTTGATGACTAATACGATCCATGCTACGTGCGATATGCCGTGGGATATACTAACACTCTTTGATGCACGCATTATGTCATGTACTGACCGCGTCGCAGAGCTATCGCGTGTGGCCTGCCTGGGGCCTATTGGTGTAGCTTTTCGTCTTTTTGGCATGTTTAGTAGAATTGTACGTGACATGTCACGCGATTGTGTTCAGGTTTAGTGGGTCGGCTCGGCAGTTGTCTCTGATATGGGATCGGGGACAGTGGCATCAACGTGAATGAACGCGGTTCGTAGAATGGGAAGAAAGTAGTTCAACCTGAATGGCTTGGATAATTCTAAAACGGATGCTAGTTGCCTGCAAAGATATTTCCTAGCTTAACCAGCTCCTCCCATCTGCCGTCTGGCTGAACCTCAATCTTTCCCTCTGGAGTCATAACCTTCATCTGATCAACTGAGGTGGTGCCAAACTCGTAGCTGTTGTCATCGTTGACAAATGCAACCAATATCCCGATCCAATCCTCCATCAGCTGTCTTTCAGTGGTCGTTGGCCCGTGGCAAATCGCAAAACTGTTGAGTGGGTTCAAAGTCAGCTTCATTCCCTCGCAAAACTTGGAAGTTCATCAAATTAGTGGTAGCTCCTACTTCCAAATCGGCCTGTCCATCGCATGTGCGACACCAAACGATGCAGGTGCCACCTTCTCATCGATGAAAGACAAACGATATGCGATGTGGTATCGCCAGACATCTTGCAGGCTGACGCCGTTATCGACTAGTGCTTTAGCCAGAGCTCGAGACGGTGCTCGCACTTGACCGTCAGACACAATGTTTCCTAAAATCATCGATATCAGCAAACGTTCTATGACTTCAGGCCTCGAGTGGCTTACCAAAAGTCTTTTGCCAATCTTCCAGCTTGTCCAACTTCGGTAACTTGTATTGCTGGATGGCTCGATCGGTAACATCGGGGGCATAGTAATTCGAAACCTGTAGCTTGAGGGCGTCTAACGTCGGCTCGGTCGGAGCGTTGTATGAAGAGTACAGCGTCTCTTCGTTTCGCACTTCGCCAATCAAAATCTTGTATCCTCTGCTCCTGAACTCGTCGGCAAACTCCTTGCTTTGCAGGTATTCGATCATCCCCGAATGCACAAAGATATCGTCCGTAACGGGCCGGAAGGTGTGGTTCTTCAAATGGGGGATTGCCTTGATAAGATCTTCCCAGCTGATGTCGCGCAAGGCTGAGAGCTTTTCAGATCCTGATAGGCTCTTTTCAATCTTGAAGTATTCGCAGAGCTCGTCGAACTGCCCTTGAACATCTGCCAAGGACTTGGGTTGCGCAGGGATCGCGTTGGAGTCCATGAAAATGCGGCGGTACAGCGAGGACTTGTCGCCAGCTTTACGGAAGTCGTACAGCATCTGCGCCTCGGCACTGTATGCACCGGCGCTGCGGCCGGCGAGGGTAATGTTGTTGGGGTCACCGCCAAAGTACGCGATGTTGTCCCGCACCCACTCGGCCGCGACCCGCTGATCCCAGAGGCCAAAGTTCCCGCCCGCCTCGCCGCCGCTTTCTCGGAGAAGATCCCCGCCAGCCAGGAAGCCGAAGACATTAAGTCGGTATCCAATGGCTACGACAATTGCGTTGAGCCCGCCCGTCGTGATGAGCTCGGTCGCATCCATGCCAGGCTCTTGAGACGGGTCTCCCATCTGAAACCAGCCGCCATGGATCCAAAGCTTCACCGGCCACTTCTTGTCCTCCTCGCCATCCTTGCACACTGGAGTCCAGATGTTGACAAAGAGGCAGTCTTCGCTGTGCGTAGCACCCTGGCCATCAGGTTTCACGACGTGAAAGGCCTTCTGAGGACACACGGCCTTGAATTTCGTCGCATCGTATGCGCTGTCTCCGCCGTTGCTGTACGAATATGAACTCGGTAGTGGTCGAGGTTTGCGCCATCTGTGCTCGCCGGTCGGGGGAAGCGCATAGGGAACGCCCGTGAATCGGCGAGACTTATCGTCGAATTGAAGGCCGCGGATCTTGCCCTTGTCCCCTAAGCTCAGCTCAACCGGCGTTTGCTGGTACGAAATGTTGTTGCCCATCTTGGTCAGGAAATATTTTGTTTGGTTTTCGAGGCTGTTCAAAAAAAAAAACGTTGCCAGCGCCCGAAGTTTAGTTATCAAACGGAAGCTCGATCTGATGTCGTGATGATATCGCTTGCTCGTCATCGGTCACAGATCTAGTCTCCGAGGGTCCGACATCCGTCCCGCTGCGGGGCCGATAGCGGCAGCAGGTGCGCTATCGCCCGCGGGACTTCCTGATAAGACATGTGGCTCGGTCGGATCTCCGGCCGAAGACTTCCCGCCTAAGCTCGTTGAGGGTGTTGACTAGACAAATTGCAATTACTAGGTTCCGTAGGAAGGAAATGGAGAATGGTGAAATTGAGATTAGATAAGAAGCCATAGATCACGAGTGCAGCGCTGGTTTACCTCAGCTGTATGAACATATTCTGTACCCGAGTTACTAATTATCTTCAGACAAAGTGTTCCGCACCGCTGTCTATCAAGCCATCCTCTCTTACACGGGCAAAATGGGCAGCATCGACCGAGTCCCTTCCAACGTGGACCTAACCCACCACATCAATGCCAAGAGCAAAGCCCGCCACCCCTCGCCATTGAAAGACATTATCAAGTTTATGGGCTATGATGGGATGATTAGTTTTGCTGGAGGTATTTCAAATTCGCAGTGAAGGTATTGACATTCTGATGCTGAAGAAGCCCATAGGACTTCCTCATCCATCTCTTTTCCCGCTTGAAGAGGCCAAGTTCAGCTGTTTGACTCCGGAAGCGTCCCTCGCCGGAGACCGCAAGGTGGGGGCCGAGAACTCGGACATACTGAGTCTCACTCTTGGCCGGGGTGCATCGCCTGGCGATCTAGAGTTGTCTCAATTTTTGCAATATGGTATAAAACCAATCCCGAGTTCCAATCAATGGAATGAAACATAAATCTGACTTCATGATAGGCTCTGGGGCCGGCAACCGCCAGCTAGTTGAACTAGCCAAAGAGCTGACTGAGACGGTTCATGCGCCTCCATGCGATTACGAATGTCTGCTGCATCCGGGAAATACGAACGCTTGGGCAAAAATTGTCGGACTTCTTTGTGAAGAAAACGACTTTGTTCTCGTCGAGGAGTTTACCTATCCTTCGGCTCAGGCTCTGTGGATCCCCCTTGGGATCAAGGCCGTGCCCATCCCAGCCGATGCAGATGGTATCTTGTCACAAGACCTCCGATCAACTCTCCAGAACTGGGACGAGGAGAAGAGAGGGGGCCCTAGACCTAAAGTGTACGTTCTTTTCCAGTAACAGCACTGAGGTCTCGGCTTTGAGATCTGACTAGAAGCAGACTTTACTTGGTTTCCGTGGGATCAAACCCCACCGGTATCACTATCTCAGCCCAGAGGCGTAGGGAGATATACGACGTTTGTGTTGAATTTGGTAAGAGCAGACCTCATCAGATGTTATTCGAAAACTCACAGTGCGCAGACATCATCATCGTCGAGGACGACCCGTACTATTTCTTGCAATTCCCCGGGTACCTTACCCCGAAGGAAACCGCATTCCAACCCAAGCCGACAAAGGAATTTCTCAAGAGTCTGGTCCCGACATTTCTGTCAATGGATGTCCAAGGCCGTGTGATTCGCCTAGAATCTTTCTCAAAGACCCTTTTCCCAGGCCTTCGCATGGGATACTTCGTGGCCAACCCTGTCTTCACTGAACGTCTTCTCCGCGCGACAGAAGTTGAGACACAAGACCCGGCAGGTCTCAGCCAAGCTCTTGTATTGGGCTTACTCCGACGCTGGGGCATTGACGGCTATCTGACCTGGCTTCAGAGTCTCCAGTTCCAGTACCGTGAGAGGAGAGACTGGCTACTTGACGCGTTCCACACACACTTTGTTGTTCTCCCGGCCGCGAAGTCACCAGTATCCCAGGCGCAGGGACTCGTCGCGTGTGTAAGGTCTCAACAAAGTGGAGAGTTGCGACCAGTCTTCAGCTTCGTGGACCCTGGTGCTGGCATGTTCGTCTGGTGCAAGTTCTACTTTGATGGTATTGATGAGTTCATGGATATGGAAAAGTCTGGCGTCAGCAAAGACGCCGAGCAAGATTTTGCGGACGAGTTATGGAAAGCGTGGGCTACTGAGCTCGTACTTCTGACACCGGGATCTTATTATCATGCGTGGCAAGGGCCGGACATGACGACAACAAAGGCACGAGGTGCCGACCCACGAACGGCGCACTTCCGCTTTTCGTTCGCAACACCGACGGTAAGTAAAGACACAGATAGTCCAAACTCATTCAAGAGTCATTTTGGCCCCACTTGCTAACGATATTACTCGCTGTACAGAAGGAGCAGATCGATACTGGCGTTGAACGCCTGTCAAAGGTCGTAGAGAGGTATTGGCGGTGAACATGCCGCGAGATGGAAAGTCTATCGGGCTTAGACATTATCTGAATTAATATTTTGCTATTAAGAAATATGCGATGAGTAGTGAGAGCTCAATCTCGCGTCCACTGCCAATGATAAATTTACCAATACGCCCTGCCTTATGTGAAAAATATGTGTCCAAAGAAGAGAAACCTGCTCCATCCGAGCCATTTAGGACCAAGCAAAGACGTGATTGCTGTCTGATCCATGTGAAATGCCAATTCAACCCGCCCGATGTTTCTTAACAGTCTTCCCAACGAACGATGACATTCCAGTTGTCAGGGTGGAAGGCCTGCCCAGCAAACTTGGGTCGAGTCTGTTGGCACATCGTTTGGATCGCATAGATGCCAGCCGTAATGGAGCTGAAACCACTGAGTTCTCTCGTTTGCGCTCCCTGCCACAAATCATCCATCAGCCTCCTTCAGGTCTTACGAGGAAATGGGGGGTCGTGTTCAGAAAAGGAGGGAGACTTACATCGTTACACCACCAAACGGCGACCTGGTGATCAAAATAGGTCAGCTAAAGCCGACTTCAACGCAGATGTTCTTTTCTCTCTTACCTTGTAACCGCAACTAACCCTGCCGCAGTTTGCCGGGCCACCACCGTTCTTTGGCCTTCCCCCAATGTCGTTGAGGTATCGGACCGCACTCATGACCTCGGATGACTTGGCCGGTTCGAAATTGTCGCAGATGACCCTGTCGAGCGGGAACGTCGTCACAGCGCGGCTCTGCAATTTATGTGGACTCTTTATATCTTCCTCCTGTTCTGGGAGATCATCAATGTTGAATGATCTCTTGAAGTCCGGGTTGATTTTCTCAATCTGCTGAATGACTTCCTCCGCCGTTCCGTTTAGGCGAAGCGCATCTCCACTTGGATGGGCTCTTACTTCCCACTCAGGCACAAAGACATCGTATCCTGGAATTGAAGACTCGGTTGCTACGGTCTAAAATCTTGTTAGCGTACGTTCCAGATACTTCTAGAATTGCAACAAACCAAAATGGCCATCAAGGCCGCCATTAGCAGGGCAAAGTATCCGGTATACATGTTGAACGAGTGTGGTGCGATGAACTCAAGGCCGAACCTGGGCTGAGCTGTCGAATTGTTGGCTGATGGTCAAGTGGGGTAGAACCGATCTGAAGGCAGACATTTTCTTAATAAAGTATTCGGAAGACAGTGTCTGGAGACCGTAGATCCGCTACGGCACTGTTGTAATACAACACAAGAAATGCAAGAGGAATACAAGTCTCTCCAAGACATGCCCAGAGAGGACCAAGCCACGGCGAAGCCTTGGTGGCTTCCGCGAAGGGCAAAAAGATCGCAGTCTTTGCGTTTGACAAAAAGAAGCAATCTTTCAATACGGGTCTGCTTGTGGAAAAGAAATGATCCAAGCTTCCAAGAGCGAAGCGCGAGTTGCTAGGCGGGGTAGTAGCAATGCCGGGGAAAGACCCCTTTAAGCCATGTCAATCACCCTACTAACATAAGCCTGTATCTGAAAGAGATTGATAGACTGTCCTGTGGGCTGTTGGAGAGGGAAGATCGACAGCGTTGCCCCTAGAATGCGCAAACAGCTAATCAAGTCGCCCGATCGGGTCCTTAGGAGGAGCAAGGGATGGCTCGGCTTTGTAAGTATGTGGGAATGAGGTATGGATCTCTCAAAAGATTCGACATCAGTCAATCAGCCGTTTCTTCAACTCATCGACATTTCCGAAACCGCATCTACTGCTCTCGAACCCTACAGGTCTGTCGAACCACCGCTGAAAGAGGTTTCCCTTGCGTGTCTGGTCAACGAAAGGCGTTTTGTGTGCTCATCAGGGCGGAGCCACCGGAAAAAGCACGTGTGTTTTTCAACAAACATTTCCAAGAGGTACATGCATTTTGCCTTGAGCAATATTCCATTCAGCATCGATTATTGTCTTGGACCAACAAACACCCGACCGGGCCACATACCCCAAGAACCATGGAGTTTTGGCCACCGGCTACCCCTTGCCGGATTGCCAAAGGTTTGATGGCAGAAACACTCAACGGCGGGCGAGCTCCAAAGTCCGAGTGCTTCGCGTTGCCTACCCCATCAAACTTAACACAAGCAGTTGGCAGAAACATAAGCTCCGAAGAGTACCGGGACCGGGACCCACCCGGAGTTGCTGGGTATCTACACTTCGGGCCGATGTCGATTTGCGGCCGTAGGATGATGTACGCGATGGAAGTTGGACGCAGCGGGACAAAACTGCTCTAGACACGCTGCAAACCGCTCAGTAGCCCTTCGTCTAAGTGCTATGTTGTCAATTCAAGTTTCATTAAGCAATATGACGGAGCTTCTCTCGTCAATCTGGTTTCTGTTCTATCCCTTTCCGGCTGTCTGCCAAGGTCTCTATTTCGTGTTGTCTGCAGGATCGGTAGCTTCGTATCTCACTGCTGTGACAACATCCAGTTGTATATACGGCCCCTCCACAATCACCGGCAACGAGTATGGCGGCGACGGAACTTCGTATGAGCGCACCGATCGCACAACGGGCATTTCGTGCGCATTGACGTACGACTTTCCCCAAGGTCGTAAGCCTCCATGTCTCCACCACCACCACTCTTTCTTCCCGACGCTGTTCGTAGGTTGGAGCTCCGAGATGGGAACCCTTCTGCTGATTGGTCCTCGAATGATGACTCGGTGCCCGTACTCGCGTATCGGGGTTCGCATGAAGGCGTACCTATCAAGCCCTGTATCGTGCACATCTTGAGGTGCGCTGAAGATGATCGTTGTTGTCCATAAGATGCAGTTGAAGAGGCCGTTCGCGGCCAGGACGCAGCCAGCGAATGCGAAATATGGTATACCAAGGTCGATCCCTAATAGAGACGTGATTCGGCCGACGACTAATGGAACGCTACAGCCGATGTAGACGAACGGGTACAGCAAGAATGCCGGATGGTAGCCGGAGAGTTGTCGCTGTCCCGTTTCTTGGTTGTTGCGCTTTTCTGGCAAGTGCCGGCAGCTCCGCTTCTGACGCCATAAGGTGAAGAAAACAAACGAGTACAAGAATATCGTGAGAACGATGGACACGATAACCCAAAAGTAGTGAGCCCACAGGCGCCAAGGGTCGTATGCCGTGGAGATCCAACACCTAGTCGCCGCGTGTTAGATGACATGGAGTAACATTATCGGTTCACAGCTGTGTCTTACCACACATTCGCTCTCATGAAGAAGGACTCCCCAGGTGGTGCGGTTCGTGCAGTGATTCCGACACCGGCGCCATTGACTACAAAATCAAACGTCCAGAGAACAGCGATCGCAGTGTATACCGCCCATGGCGGCACCTTGTGACCCAGACCGACGGTCAAAAACGTATTGACCGAGATGAGCGACAGGAACAAACTTGCGGCCAAATTACTCGTGGAACCCAACCAGCCTTGAGCCCAGCAAACCGATGATGGAGCAAATATTCCGTCCGCGTAAACCCAGTAGAAGCTTAGGCCGTATGCCAACGCTTCCATCATATCTGCGATCAGCAGATTGTAGACAAGGATAGGAAACGGGTTCCGGGCCTTCACCGCCTCCTCGACCCGTCTTCGTTCCGCCTCGGCATTTCGTTGTTCTTCTTCGGCGGCTAATCTGTCGAGTTCTTGAAGCCGAGCGAAGCCTTGCGCCCCAGATGCGGGCGCGTCAAGCCCGAGAGTGAGGTCCGGAACTCCGCCAATGACGACATTTGGCCGTGCGTCGTCGGGCTGCTTCTTTTGGGTCAGCCGCTCCTTCAAGAGCTTATACGAAATGAAGAGCCAAAGAATCAACGTTGATAGGAACGAAAGGAATGAAACTGCAGTCAAAATGATGAGTCCACTGCGATGGTTCTCCGGAAGGGGTGCCAGTGTCCCGCGCAATTGCGCCGCAGTGGACATGATTGAGCTGACATTGAAGCATGTGAAGCGACGCGCGTAAGGATAGGACTGTCATGAAAGATATAATAACCCAAGGACTACACGTTGTACATATTCTGCCTTCAAAGACGTGAATGTCGTTCGGATTTGCCCTTCTTTAGGCATTCCACAAAGCTTACTCGATCCTTGGCCCATGCCTTTCTCAGAGCCGTTTAATGCCCGCGGGGTGAATTCTGCCAGCAAGATCGACAGAATTGATCCCTTTTGAGCCTACATAAGCGCATACAGAGGGGAAAGTCAAAACTCTGTCGATCGTGAACCAATGAGTAGAAGGTCGTGCCGGTAAAACTCTAACACCAGTTGCTTCGCGACTGAAGTCAAAGTCGCGTGGCTTTCCGCCTTCTAGTTCGTCACCTCGTATGCTTCGGGCGATCAAGGTTGCTAATGGCGAAATATGTCCTAGTTACATGGCGGATCGCATGTGTTTCATACCATCTCACCTACAAGCATTGACCGCGTTGGCGGTTGCAGACGACATGGACACACGTGGTTTAGATTGCTGAGAGAACCTCCGCGGAGCCACCAGCTACCCGACCGGCTCGGATTCTACAGCTGGTTCTGCTGGCTTCAGCTCGTAGTAATAGACTTCAGCCTGACTAGCAAGCCAACACGCTCGTAGGGCGATCAATCGCTCAGGTCTTTCTGGCCCTGGCTTCGTCGCAGCTTTTCGTTATCGGGGATATGCGGGGAACTGGCCCGTCCTCTGCTGTTGTCCAGGTTGACCTTCCAGCCCGGCTCGAGGCCCGAATCAGCCCAGCGAATCATAGGACTTAGCGAAAACTAGGAGTCTCACAGTTCAACCTAGAGGCCCACGCTGATAGACTTGATGTTTTCAATTCAACGACGGAGCCGAAGGAATCCGACAGGCAGAGACAGGTGCGATACCTCCGAGTAAGTCATGTGCTGTTCATCCAGAAGGATTGGCTTCTGAAAAGTCGCATTGCCAAGTTCCGGCACCAAGATCTTCTCCGTGCCACGGATGTTGGGAGATTCGGGTGCCACGGTCCCGGGCAGTCAGGAGCGCATTGGCAGCTGGCGCTCCCGACTTACTAAAATGAACGAGAGGGGATAGAAATCGAATGCGGTACCGAACTTCCTTTAAGGCATGACATCGTCTTGGTATGGATTCCTTTCACTCGGCATCTTCCGACAAATAAGTAGCCTGCGCGGCGTTTATCAGACTGCCTGACTGCTTCAACGTTGCCGAGGAACGGCCGGGAGTGAAGAGCAGGGTCCTGGCGCCAATTTGGGCTAATTACTCTTTTAACCCAACTTGAAAACCAGTGCAAGCCACGGTACTCAGACAGAGTTAATCCGTGCCCGGTGGGTTGGGCAGATCAGTGAACAAAGACATCGCACGGGACGAAGAGGGCAGAAATATACTACTTTTGTTGAGATGAAGAGGTTTGAGATTGTTCAATTAGGACTTGGCGGCCTATTGATTCCTTATAGGTCTCAAAAGGCTAGTGGACCTTGTTCACAGACCTGACATTGATAGCAAGTTTTGACGTGGGAAGCTTCACATGAGTGCTTAGAGATGGATATTGTAGCCCAGTGCGGACTCACTGGCTCCCCGCGATACTACAACGTACAGATCTAAACGACGATATTCGACTCACATGCTCTCGATCTTCGGCGTTTTCAAAGAAAGCCGCTCGCATGCAGCTCGCATGCACGATGAAACTCAAGTCAAGCTGGCAGATGAACCTCGGCACAGAGTAGTCATGTTTCAAACCTCCCGGCCGATGTTGCCGCACGGCCCGTCGAAACACGAGTCGAACAGCCCAGATCGAGTAAGTCTGTTCCAAACAAACTTGCTCTTTGAATGAATTTCATTATTGAGATTCACCGCGATAATGGATCCGATTACGATTATCACTGCGGCAGCGTCACTGGCGGGCGCCGTCTTGACCGCGTCGCTGAAGATCAAAAATACCTTGGACCACTTGGATAACGCGCCACAGAATGTGTGCGATATCGCCGAGGAGATTTACGCGGTTCAGTACGCGCTCAGTCAAGTCGAGGATGTGGTCCGTCGGGACCCCAACGTGATTGATCGGCTCGCTCTCGAGGACGTGTTTGCCTTGGCTGTCAAGGGGTGTCATGCGACATTGTTGCTCATC